CATCTATAGCTGAGCGCCTAAAGGCGCTGTTCGCCGCGAAAGAGTTAAACTTTTTTTACTTTTTTAATTTTTTTACTTTTTTTACTTTTTTACTTTTTTTTACTTTTTAATTTTTTACTTTATTAAAAAATTTTTTTTTACTTTTTGAATTACTTTTTGAAAATCAAAAATTTTTAAATTTCTTATTTTATTGTAGATGGGCCTTCTTGAAACATGGCTCGCAATAATATGTATCTTTACACGTTTTATAAAGTTTCGAAGTTCTAATCTTGCAAGTATTTACAGAACAGTAAGATCTTTTTAGTCCTTTTTCGAAATTGTGTTGTGCTTTGGAATGTTTCTCTAAATAATATTTGCTAATTTCTAATGCAAAGTCTTTTGTTCCCCGATTTTCTTCGGATTTTACACTATTCCATAGAACAGTTGCGTTCGTGATTGTAGCTTGTATCAGCCTCATTAAAATTACCAATGTCCACTTCTTTGATCTGAAAATCGGTAGTACTCTACTGCAATGCTGATCATGGATATCAATTCCACCCATGAATTGATTGTATACTGTGAAGGCATGTGGAAACGGGAGTCCTTTTTTAATTTTTTCTATTTTGTCATATCTACTTATTGAGCCGAGGGGTATGACACCAGCAGCAGTAGATAAAATTAAGACTGCTTTTGAATCCTGAACTGTAATAAAATTGAGACCGTTATTCTGTTCATGCTGTACTAGATGAGTCTCCCTCGGCGCATTTTTATCCAAGACATTTTTTACACTTACTCTATTGTCTCTTACTGTGCCAGTCGAGCGAAGTCCAGCCTTTTTTAGATGAATTAGCAAGTCTGGGCAACAGAATAGATTGTCAAAGTAGACGTGATACTGGGCTAGTTTGCGAGGAGATGTATTTATCAATAATGGCTCTAACATACTGATAACTACTCGACTTCCTAAAGGACATTTAGATAATTTGAGAGTTTCTTCGTTTTTTCCACAATAAATATCAAAATTAAAAACGTATCCATTTGCACTACCTAAAGCCCACATTTTTATACCGAATCTTATTGGTTTAGACTTTATAAATTGCTTCAATGTAAATCTACTATAATACTTGACCATCATTTCATCGATAGACAATGCTGTACAAAATATTCCAAATCTCATGATGTTATTTTTTAATATTTCTACTATCGGTCGGACGCGCCAAGCTTTGTCTGATTCTTTTTTATCTTCTGATTTCGAAGATTTAAGATTTTTCTTAATAAGTTCAAATTTATTGTGACTCATAGCTTTAGAAACTATATCAGATTTCAAGAAAGGATCATTTGACCAGTAGTTACGTTGCGCTAATCTCTTGTTATAGGTTGAAAAAATAATTATACCTAAAAAGGNTCATTTGACCAGTAGTCACGTTGCGCTAACCTCCTGTTATAGGTTGAAAAAATAATTATACCTAAGAAGGTGTCTAAATCAGTGGCTGAAAGTTCATATCCATTTTCTCGAGTAGCTTCTATTAGATAAGCTTTTAGCTCTGCAGAGAAAAAAACTCAAATAATTCAACGTAAGAGCTACTTGAAATCATTTTTTATCTGAATCTGATAATAAAATGTTATTAGAGAGAGGATCTTTATAGATGTATTCTCCATTTTTCCAACCATACTCATGAGTTTCTTCTAATTTTTTTTGAACATTGTTATAATCTTGAGATTTCTGGAATACGAATGAGATGGAAAAGCAAAATCGTTTTCAGTTATAATATTTTCATTCAACTCAATTTCGTCGCTTGATTCATCATTGTCAGATTCTCCTGAATCATCTATATTAGGAATAATTGTAATATCGAATCGAGCGATCGCCTCGATCTTCAACTTCATATTCTCTTTTTTTTGACATTTTGAAGTTGCAGTCGTAAATGCAAATAAATATTTTTAAATAAAATATTTTTCGAAGTAATTATA